GAGAATAAAGTCGTAATATTTCGAGAATAAAGTCGTAATATTTCGAGAAAAAAGTAAATATTTCGAGAAAAAAGTCGTAATATTTCGAGAAAAAGTCGTAATATTTCGAGAATAAAGTCGTAATATTTCGAGAATAAAGTTGTAATATTTCGAGAATAAAGTCGTAATATTTCGAGAATAAAGTCGTAATATTTCGAGAAAAAAGTCATAATATTTCGAGAAAAAGTCGTAATATTTCGAGAATAAAGTCGTAATATTTCGAGAATAAAGTTGTAATATTTCGAGAATAAAGTCGTAATATTTCGAGAATAAAGTCGTAATATTTCGAGAAAAAAGTAAATATTTCGAGAAAAAAGTCGTAATATTTCGAGAAAAAAGTCGTAATATTTGGAGGATAAAGTGGGCTGCTGTACTGTAGGGGGGCTGCCATAACGCGTTGGGGTCTCGGTTGCTGTACTGTAGGGGGGCTGCCATAACGCGTTGGGGTCTCGGTTGCTGTACTGTAGGGGGGCTGCCATAACGCGTTGGGGTCTCGGTTGCTGTACTGTAGGGGGGCTGCCATAACGCGTTGGGGTCTCGGTTGCTGTACTGGTGCCGGAGCTCCACTCACTCCTGTCTCTCTGTGGATCATTTTGATCATCATTCTCACTGTCTGTGAAACTTCATGCCCTCTTTGAATGGGGGGAGATGTAGCCCCCGATAGCCGTGTAGACGACCCTGCCTGAGATTCTCCTTCAACAACACAGACAGACAGTTTCCTCCGAGTCCGTCTGGCTCTTTATTCCAGATAAACACAGTTTCCTGCTCCGCCGTTTCAGCCGGTTCTTATACTAATAACAGGCTGGTGCTGATGTGCAGGAGAGACAGGGAGGCTAAGTGTTTCTTTATGGGTGAATCGATGTGAAAGTAGAACTCCACCAACTCACCACCCCTCATTTAACACGAGGAGGTGCTGCCTTCACTTCGCAAAGCTTTTGGCCACAATATTCCGACCTTTCCTGGTATTAATGCCACTTTAATGACGTAACTCTATGACTTTTTTCTCAAAGGCTACTATTTTTATTTTTATTAACAGTGGCCTTAAAACGCCGTCGTAGTTGCCTGTTATTCTCTATGTGAGCCGATACGTCTGCGCGTCCGCCATGTTGGAGAGGTCAAGATCCGCTTGTAAGCAAATTCCCTTGTATTGAGAGATGAAGAGTCTCAGGATTAAATTGACCACAACTTCCTTATTACTCAACTGGTTTTCACCAAATTTGTTTTGTTATAAACACAGATTAATCTGGGCTGCTCGAGCAGGAAAGTATTCAGTAATCAGCAAATCCATCAAAGTGTGAATGACTTCTAATCTTAATACACATTATACAAATAAAATAACCCCCAAAACACAGTTAGAAGGACGAAGCTAAAGCTGGCTTTCTATTCGCCATTTAAGGTGGAACGGGACAATTCGAACAAGATGCTGGCAAATAAGAAGCTGACTTCAGGTTCATGTAAGAAGGTTTTATTGTTAATCTATTATGAATATCTACACAGATTAAGGAATATAACTTAGCAACAATTATTGTAATTATTGTAAATAAATAACTACTACATAACCTTAGAATCTCCTCAAACTGTTAAATGAAATAAGCTTAATATAAAACCTGAGGCAAAACCATCACATCAACAGGTTATTTGACCAGAATAGGTTCTTTTGCCATGTCTACACATAATCATCACACAAACAATACACATCACACAAACCTGAGTGTGGATCGCTGTGTTCCCTCCGTTATATAATCATATCCCGCTTTCTGAGAGCGATATTCTAGAAACAGTATAATTTTGGACAGTATCTTTCTCAAACTGCTGCTCTGTAATGGTACTGAATGCAGTCCAGGAGCGATGTTGACCGCCCCAAAATGTGTTAAATATTTTTCAGTGAGAAAATCAACAAAACCATGAGTGTTCAAACTTTTATGACTGTACATAGTCCTGCACAGGACAGTCAACACAATAAATACGGTTTAATAATTTGATTGAGTTTTATTTGTATAAAGCTTCTTTAAACAGACATTGTGACAAAGCAGCTTTACAGGTCCTTGAATGAGGAAGATGAAACAGTGGCATTAAAAAATTCCCTGAGAAGGCCCGAGGAAGAAACCTTGACAGCAGACTCAGAGGAGGTCAATTGAGGCCAAAGACAACTGGATCCGTTTCGATTAGTGCAGTGCCGTTGACAAAATGTGCTGGGTTAAAGGGGAATTCCACTGATTTTTAACACTTTCTGCATAAATCAACTGTTACAACGTAAACGAAGTCATTTAGAGTGGCCTGGTGTGAAATGCTCAATCCTAGAGAAACTTGGCGAGTCAGAATTGTTCACAGTGATTGTAATAGGAACCAGACGTCAGAAGCGAAAAGCTACCCCACAGAAAGGTATTACATAAAATGTTTCCAAATTAGAGCTGAGCAATATGACAATATATATCGTTATCATGATAAATTATGTCACAATACTAAGCAATACGGTTTTCTGAACATATCGGGATATCGTCAGTACTTATACACAGTCGAGTCGCATTATTACGACCACTTCCTAGCTTCGATGGCACTCTCAACCGATTTGGGTATGAATCCATCCTTGCAGATCACGTACACCCATACATGCTGATTGTCCTCCCTGGTGTCCTCCAATGCAACATCGCAAGGCTACAAATGTCCGACGTTGGTTTGAAGAGCATGACCAAGACTTCTAAGTACTACCCTGGCCCCCTAATTCCCCAGACTTGAACCTAATTGAGCATCTGTGGGACCACCTTGATCGTTCGCTCTATGGATCCTCCCCCACGCCCCCTCCAGCAGCTGTGGGATGCACTGCAGTCAGCATGGCTCCAGATACCTGTGACAACCTACCAGGACCTTATTGAGTCACTCCCAGCCCGTCTGGCTATTGTCTGTGCTGCACACGGCAGTTATTGGATATTAGCTGGTGGTCATAATAATGTGACTGACAGACAGACAGACAGAAAGACAGACAGACAGATATAGACAAATAGATATATCGACAGATGGAAAGATAGATAGACATAGACACACAGACAGATATAGACAGACCGATAGACATATATAGATATAAATATAAACACAAAAGCAGTGATGGCTGAAAATATTAATTAAAGATGATAAAAATACTGTAAATTTTACATATTTAAAATGTAAAATTTTAAAATTTATTACAATGTGTAAATATAGTGTAAATTACACCTTGCAGATAACTACACACTTAAAAAGAGGGTTCTTCAAGGGTTATTTTGTAAAGAAAATGGTTCTATATAGAACCATGAACCCTTTGATGATTAAAGGGTTCTTTGCATTATGAAAGGGTTCTTCAGGTTGATGGAGAATGTGTTTTGTATGGTTCTATATAACACCAAAAAGGGTTCTTCTACTGTTACAAGCTTGACATCATAACAATAGCAGAACCCTTTTTAGTGCTATATAGAAACCTTTTCAAAAAGGTTCTATATAGAACTATCTACAGCACATTCTCCATCAATCCAAAGAACCCTTTAACGATGCAAAAAACCCTTTAATGATGCAAAGCGTTCTTTGATTGTTCATGGTCCTATCTAGAACCATTTTCTTTACACCTGAGGAACCGTCTTTTATAAGAGTGTAATGGAGTAATTGAAAGTGTTGCGTGTAACTCTGCTTTCGAATTGCTTCATGCAACTGTCATGTTGCACGGAAATGATGTTGCAGGCAACTCACAGCATGCAACTAGTTGCATGAGAGTTTCTCTATTTAAAAGGGAGCTTTACGCTGTTATCTTGCTACGGTTTGCCCCAAATAAATTACGTTGTTTTCATCATCAGAGGGGTCTGTTGCCATAGTAACTCTGTCATTGACACCAGGCACAAGCACTTGCTTCGTTAATATTAAAATAGCATTTTTAAAAGGTTTGACTGACAGCACTAAATTCCACCTCCTCTTAAGAACTGATCGGTATTAAAGCAGTAAGCCATGCGCCACTGTGATTTTATTAAGGGGTGTTGTTAGGCACTGTAGGAAGAATTTAACCCCTTACAATCCAAAGCTTATTACATACTAAGGCTTATTATTCAGTAACAACATGGACTTCAATGCAAACTAGCTGAGCTATTCTTAGGTTATAGAAGTGTGTAATAAAACTGGGCCCACCAGTCGGCCCTGGCCATGTAAGGGGTTAATTCAGAATTTGGTTGTGGTGAGGTGGTCCTGGGTGTACATATATGGAGAATTTTACAACAGCTTCGAACACAGATCACATTTTAGCAGCTAAATTATGTTTTATAGTCGTCTTTATAACATTCTGGCTTTCTAAGGACAGAGATAATAGCGAGGGTTGTCTAGACAAGATAATGTAAAATGGATACTGGAGTTCCAGTCTCTTGAGGTATTTTACGTGTATTAGGTACGTTATTTGCATTTTCCTAAATGTGCTCAGGACACCTTTGTGTGTTCACCAAGTGTTCAACCAGTAACGTTCAGCTAAATTATGTTTTACAGTCGTCTTTATAACATTCTGGCTTTCTAAGGACAGAGATAATAGCGAGAGTTGTCTAGCCTCTTATGCTCCTTGGAACCACCGGTGGTTTCAAAATGCACACTTGTCATATTCTTCATAACTTTCATATTTCATAAGCTACATTCTAAAGGTGCGGGTCGTATGAGGCTGTAACTGTCTTCTTTCCAGTCAAATAGATGGGTGATGTCATTTTAAACCCTTATAATAAAAGAAGCTGAACTCAATTTTTTGTCTGCTGAAAGTCGACCCATTTTTCCACAAATCTGGGCTATAAACTATAAACAGACGGCGTCTCTTCAGTGATCTGCTCTGTAAAAACTATTTTTATAAAATAATACAAAGAGCGTCTAAGATTTTTGGCTTTCAGCAGTAAATTGTAAGCATATAGCAATATGTGTGATCATAAACAAACATGTTCTGTTAATTCGAGGGGAGCTTTTACAAAAAAAAAATAAATAAAATAAAAATTTGCATTTATTTCATGCAGTTACTGAATAATCTGCTTTATGATTTGGTCATGTAAATTCAGATGGACAAACCAAAACATACCCTGGAGCATAAGAGGCTAGACAAGATAATGTAAAATGGATACTGGAGTTCCAGTCTCTTGAGGTATTTTACGTGTATTAGGTACGTTATTTGCATTTTCCTAAATGTGCTCAGGACACCTTTGTGTGTTCAATCAGTAACGTTTGTTGAAAAAAAAAAAGAATTAACACTAAATGTCAGTGATGGATTTCAATTTTCAATACAAATTCTTTCTTGCTTTTCACAGTCAGTCCTTTAAATCCACCACCAGATGGCACAGCAATTGTAAATGACTTTTTTTTTATCCAGTTGTTTACCAGGGAATCTCAGAGCCGTCCCAGGCGTAGGCCTTCCCGCTTTTATCCATACTGAGGCTGTCTATGATCTCCATGAGGCGCTGTACAGAATACTGTGTGCTGAACAGCTTGTGTTGGGGGACATTCTTGTGGTAGGGGCGAGAGAGGTCCGTGTCCACCGTCCCAGGGTGAAGAGACACGCACACTATTTTTGGCCGACTGCGGCCCAACTCTATAGACAGGTTCCTGGTGGCCATGTTCAGAGCAGCTTTGGACATCCTGTAGCTGTACCAGCCACCTAGAGCTGGACATACAGACAAAGGAAGACATGAAAAATGGTAAAAAAAGCCATATGTAAGCAATAGAACACGAGAGGGAGTGTTATTGCGAAATAACCTCGAGTGTTCTATTGCTTTTATACAACAGTTAATAAATAAAGTAGTAAATTAATAAACTGGGCCGTGAACGCGGCGTTTAATATGTTTTAATGTTCGCAGTTCCTTCACCAAATTATAGTTCCTTAACGAGCAGCTTGTTGCTCCGTCAGAGTAACGAGCTCCGCCCACTCGCTGCACAGCCGGCAGTTCGTTCTCCAGCTCCTCACACTAAATTCCCAAACTGTCATCACCACTGAGCAGCTTTTCAGTCGGCAGCTGTGACAGAAGAACAGCTAAACAACCTGGAATCTGCCAGAAATGAACCCAATACCATTCGCCAAACGTGTAGTCTGATCTTCAGAGTCTGACCAAATCAGACTGAGCCATAAAACTGCCGCAATATCAAGTTTAGCTCAGTTTTGTCAGTTTTTGCCAGATCAGTATTAATGTTGTTTTGTTCCAGCCAGTCTGTAAAGCATCTTACAGCCCATTTAGTTTGGCGAATGGTGTTGGGTTCATTTCTGGCGGATTCCAGGTTGTTCAGCTGTTCTTCTGTCACAGCTGCCAACTGAAAAGCTGCTCAGTGGTGATGACAGTTTGGGAATTTAGTGTCCTCTCATCTTCAGAGTCTGACCAAATCGGCTGTCGGTCAAATGTGATCTTAAAAGTGTCCATTTTTTGTTTGTGGCAAAGTAAGAAGTAAAAACATTTAAATGTCTTGAGCATCTCCTCCAGCTGTCAAAGTCGTTGCTTAGCAACAGCATCTCAGCGGACTGATACAGTGTTTGTGAAAAACCTTACTGAACTAACTGTTGTATAAAATAGCATCTTGGATTGGATGAAGTCAGATGAACGTGTGCACGTTACAGCAGTGCAATAGAAATGCATGTTTAGAGTGATGTAAAAATGAGAAAATATCAACATTAAATCACCGGCGACTATAATAACATTTAAAATGTGCAGGTTACTGAGGGGTCTTAGTTGGCACTTTGCACAATATGGATTTCGAAATTCCTATTTACTGTAAAACACTTTCAGCTGATCAAATAATAGGATTGCTATAAGTAGTGGGCAGTGTGGTCAAAAATGTACCTGGACCATTCTACTGAATTAGCTCAAACTGCAGTCCCACAGTAAAAAATAAATAAATAAATAAATAAAATTTTAAAAAAAGAAAGAAAAAAAGAAAATGTAAGTTTTCAGACCAGGGATGTTTCCAAGTGTTATGATCGAGTTAAACTCAAGGCATTAATTAAGATACTAATAAGCTAAATATATACAAAATCAACATTCTTAGGGCAGTTTCTGTTGGGAGGTGTCCGTCCCAAACCTTAATTCCTAAATTTCAACTTGTGAAAATAATACTGACATATAAATTATACTTTCTGTATTTTTATTATTTTTTTAAAGAATTTTTTGGTCTTTTTTTTTAAAGCGGAGTTGAAAGATTTAGATTCATTGAGTTTAATTTTAAAAACTGATAAATGCTGTCCCATGTTTTCACGTCACAAAGCGTTTTAGTCCATAGGCGGAGCCTTTTTTAGCCACACCCTTACATTTCAGAGCAGGAAGTGAGGCTGCATCCCTGCCCCTTATGGCCACATGGTGAGCAGTTAGATCCCATTGTTTTAAGGTAAATGTCTCCCAAAGTCTGAAAATCAGAACTGATTTTATGTGTGTGCACATAAACACTGGACAGCCACAGAGCTTATTTGTGCATGTAAGTCTTAAAGGCACTAAAGGATGAACAGAGACTGGAAATGACCATAATAATAAATTATAACTGTTTTGGTACATAAAACCACACAAACATTATAAGCAGACCGACAAAAATAAAATACAAAGATAAATGTAGGATGTGGGCCCATTAAATTGTGACCACTAAAGCGACGTGCATGCTAATAGTGCCCCCTGCTGGAGAAACTTCAAACCAATTACTTTAATCAATTACAAAGTAACTGTGAATTAACACTTGCAGGAAAATGATTATAATGATACAGTGAAACAACAATCATTACATCCCTACCTATAGGGGCAGTCGTGAGCTGGAGGTTAGGGAACCAGCCTTGTGACCAGAAGGTTGCTGGTTCGATTCCCCTGAGCTGACAGTACGTGACTGAAGCGCCCTTGAGCAAGACACCTAACCCCCAACTGCTCCCTGGGCGCTGCGGATAGGGCTGCCCACTGCACCGGGCAAGTGTGCTCACTGCCCCCTAGTGTGTGTGTTCACTAGTGTGTATGTGGTGTTTCAGGGGAATGGATGGGTTAAAATGCGGAGGTGAAGTTTCCCCGTTGTGGGACTAATTAAGGTCACTTAGTCTATTAAAAATCATGCTTATTACAAAATTCTTGACTCTCCATCTGCGGTAAATGGACAGTGCTTACCATTGTCGCCGATTGAGCCGACCCTTGCTGTCATGTTCACTAAGATGCCATTGTGTTGCTTTGTTTTCTCAGCAGGCTGCCGACCAAACTGTCCGGTTCCCTTCTGCAGTAAAGGAGCAAAGTACTTTGCCATCAGCAGGGGGCCCACCGTGTTGGTGGCTAGTGTGGAGGTGACCCCCTGTTAAAAAAAAAACAAAAATATATAATCAGACCAAAAAGGTAAAAATAGAACAGTGTTTCTCAACTGCAGTCTTATATTAGGATACAATAACTGCTGGGGTTCTCAGAACAATGGACTGACCACCCCAGAGTCCAGACCTCAACATCACTGAATGTGTTTGGGTTTACTGGGATTATGAGAAGCAGAAAATGCAACCAACTTCTAAGACTGAACTTTGCAAGGGTGGAAAAAAAATCTTTGCAGATTTCCTTGAAAAACTAAAAGGGATTCTTTGGAAAAGAATGAGAGCTGTAATAACAGCAAAGCGTGGACACATTAAATACTGACGAATGTGATATTAAACCAAATCAAATCATGTTTACACATTTATACAGGTGAGAAGGTGAGTGGAAATCTGGTGCGTAGCCCCCTTGTAGTACTTGAACTAACAAAAACTAAAAATATAAGAAAAGAAACACATTATATATATATGAAACATATATACACCCCCCCACACACACACAGTGACAGGCATAACATTATGACCACCTCCTTGTTTCTGCACTCATTGTCCATTTGCTCCACTTACTTTTACCTTTTACCCTGTTCTTCAGTGGTCAGGACCCGCATGGACCCTCACAGAGCAGGTACTTTAAAATGCAAGTTGTATTGAATTCGTCTTCTTTACCTTATAAAGTGTAAAATGTTGATTAAAGCGTTCGTCCATTTTAATCAGAAGTGTTTGTATATACACAGGTCAGGCATAACATTGTGACCACCTCCTAGTTTCTATGCTCATTGTCCATTTTATCAGCTCCACTTACTATATAGGTGCACTTTGTAGTTCTACAGTTACAGACTGTAGTCCATCTGTTTCTCTGCATACTTTGTTAGCCCCCTTTTACCCTGTTCTTCAGTGGTCAGGACCCCCATGGACCCTCACAGAGCAGGTACTATTTGGGTGGTGGATCATTCTCAGCACTGCAGTAACACTGACGTGGTGTTGGTGTGTTAGTGTGTGTTGCGCTGGTCTGAGTGGATCAGACACAGCAGTGCTGCTGGAGTTTTTAAACACCTCAGTGTCACTGCTGGACTGAGAATAGTCCACCAACCAAAAATATCCAGCCAACAGCGTCCTGTGACCACCGATGAAGGACTAGAGGATGACCAACACAAACTGTGCAGCAGCAGATGAGCTATCGTCTCTGACTTTACATCTACAAGGTGGACTGACAAGACAGAAGTGTCTAATAGAGTGGACAGTGAGTGGACACAGTGTTTAAACACACCAGCAGCACTGCTGTGTCTGATCCACTCGTACCAGCACAACACACACTAACACACCACCACCACATCAGTGTCACTGCAGTGCTGAGAATGATCCACCACCCAAATAGTACCTGCTCTGTGAGGGTCCATGGGGGTCCTGACCACTGAAGAACAGGGTAAAATGTCTGATAAAATGGACAATGAGCATAAAAACAGAGGTCATAATGTTATGCCTGATCGGTGTATGTGATGCTGATGATGGTAAAATAACAGCCAGTCTGAAAAAATAAGTTTTCTTTGAGGACTATTTTGCCTTAGAACACCATTCATGTATCCCTCCACCGCGAATAGATCAAAATAATTTGATTAAAATACATTTTAGACCAAACATTGATCACAAAACTACCATAAAATGCCTCAACCATCAGGCAGTGCATTCATAACCATTTAATGTAATAACTTTCTGGGGAGCTTTTAGAGGTGGACGTCTGGTTCCTATCACCACCACTGTAAACAGTTCTGGCTCTAAGTCTCTCTAGAACAGAGCGTTTCACACCAAACCACTCTGAATGACTCTGTTTACATCCCAGTGAAAGAATTACGCAGAGATTTTGGAAAATCGGCCCCTTTACGTAGTTTTTGAGCTGGTATATTTGTACTTCTACTCATAGTAGCTCGTAATACCGTAGTTAGCAGTTAGCACAGTTAGCGGAGTCCAGTCTGAGCCTCACCTCCGCGGACACGTCCCGCAAGCTGGTTTCTCCCTTTGCCGGACGGGTGAAGAACAGCCGAGCAGTTTATCAGCAGATCGACTCCGCTGAAAGCGGACCGGACTCGCTCGGCGGCTCTCTGGATTTGCTCCTCCCGGGTTACGTCCAGCTGCAGCACGGTCACTCTGCTCGGGTTCCCGGCGGCGAGAGCAGATAAGGCTGGAGCTCCGTCCGGATCTCTGCACGTCGCTATCACGGCCACGGGAGCTCTGTGCGATAAGAGGTGTTGACAGAACTGCAGTCCGAGCCCCCTGCTAGCCCCCTGGACCAGAGCTACAGCAGCCATAACACAACCTGGACACGCTGACGGTGAGTGTGTTTGACTGCCCTCCAGCGGACAGAAGGACAGTTACACAACCGCGCAGGCGGAGTTTCGTAACGAGGTTGTCCACAATGACGAGCCTGGACTTCGTTATTAGGTTATTAACCCTTATGTGGTGGTCAGATCTGTGGGACCCATTTTTAATGTTTACCAAAAGAAAAAATGATGCGATATATTATAATTACAACCTCAAATTTCTTGGCATAACATTCTGACCACAACCTTGTTTCTACTCTCATTGTCCATTTTATCAGCTCCACTTACTATATAGGTGCACTTTGTAGTTCTACAGTTACAGACTGTAGTCCATCTGTTTCTCTGATACTTTGTTAGCCCCCTTTTACCCTGTTCTTCAGTGGTCAGGACCCCCATGGACCCTCACAGAGCGGGTACTATTAGGTGCTGGATCATTCTCAGCACTGCAGTAACACTGACGTGGTGGTGGTGTGTTAGTGTGTGCTGTGCTGGTATGAGTGGATCAGACACAGCAGTGCTGCTGGAGTTTTTAAACACCTCAGTGTCACTGCTGGACTGAGAATAGTCCATCAACCAAAAATGTCCAGCCAACAGCGTCCTGTGGGCAGAGTCCTGTGACCAGTGGACCTGTGGAAGTTGCAGATGAGCTGTTGTGGCAGTTTGACTCTCCCCAGCCTTCGGAGGAAGTAGAGGCGACAACGTGTGATGTGTTGAGTGACCATGTGAGATCCTTGGCTGTGTGGACACTGAGGAACCTTAAGCTGCTCACCTTTTCCACCATCCCCCTTTAGATGCTCACTGGTGCGCGCACTCTGCTCCCCCTCCTGAGGTCGACAATCAACTCCTTGGTTTTGCCAACACTGAGGGAGGGGTTGTTGGCGGTGCACCACTCTGTAAGGAGCTTCACTTCCTCCCTGTATGGTCCCACATCGTTGTTGGCGATGCTGCCAATTATTGTTATGTCGTCAGCAAACTTGATGACGGTGTTGGAGCTGTGTTTTGAGATGCAGTCGTAGTTGTAAAGTGTGTAGAGGACAGGTGAGAGGACGTTGCTCTAAAGGGGGGGGGGTAGGGGTGGTCACCCATCCTAATTGACTGTGGTCTGCAGGTGAAGAAGACCATGATCCAGCTGCACAATCAGTGACATATTCCAAGAGTGTTTAGTTTGGAAACCAAGAAAAGGCAAGGCTGAAGTAAATAAACAGCATTCTGACATAGAGTGCATATGCACCGCCAGGCAGACCTCATCATCAGTAGATCTGTTTGCGCGGGGGGCTAACTGATGGGGGTCCAAAGTGTTAGACAGAGTGCTCTTTCAGCGTCTCGAAGCACTTCATCACTACGAGTGTGAGAGAGATGGGACGGTACTCATTCATGCATGGGGTTTCTTTGGTACTGGGATGATGCTTGAGGCTTTAAAGCAGGTGGGAACGGTAGGCTGTGCCAGGGAAATGTTGAAGATGTCCGTGAAGCTAGCAGCCAGCTGGTTGGCACGCGCTTTAAGGACCCGACCTGGGACGCCATCTGGACCTGCTGCTTTCTGTGTCGAGACCCTCATCAGTGCTCTCCTCACCTCATCTGTAGCCAGTATGAGGGCTGGCTCTTCTGTGGAGGGGGGCAGGGCAGTGGTGGTTAGCTGAGCCTGAGCATTGGCCTCAAAGCTTCCACTGTTCTAACCATGGCGACGTTTGAGTTCAGAATACCGCCACCATTTAAGGTGGAACGGGAAAATTCGAACAAGAAGCTGGTGAATAGGAAGTCAACTTCAGCCTCGTCCTCTTGTGAACCTAAATATAAGATAACCTGTATGTTTTGGTGCTTAGTACTAGTCAGTACTACCAAATAATAGACTAAACATCTTACATTTAGGAGATGTTCATTGTTTATTTAACAAATATGCGTTTCACAGTGAAATATTAGTGTCTGTCAAAGCCGAAGCTCCTCGAAGTCCATCTTTGTTTTGAGCAACAGCACTTTTTTCCCAGCAAATGGGAGGATTTGTCGTGAAGCGTCTTCGTCCACAGAGTTCGCCCAGCTACCATGTGCGCGGCACGGCGAACAAAGCCTCCGCGCGACATCTGCGGTTGTTTGTTTTCTCCGCAATTACATCATATTGTGACTGAAGCCAGGCGAACGTCGTCTCCACAAGAAGTCTGCTGAGGCCTTAAGGTTTCTCACTGCCATGTATTGTTGTTTACAGTAAGTTAATGTTGGTGAGTGTTGATCATAATGCAATTTTATATCTCTCGATTATTCAACCTGTAGATGGAAATTAAGAGGTGGCAGCTCAAAAAAATGAATCGATTGATCTCCGATTATTTCCTTGAGTTCTTGTAAAGCTGAGTTTAATAAATGAATGTATTACTAAACACCGGAGCAGAGGGAGAGAGAGAGAAGCCGAAAGAGACTGAAGGAGCAGATCTGATGGAGGTTAGGGGTCAAGAAGAAAGCGAGGGAGAGGTGTGTGAGCTATCGGTCAAAATTAATACTGAATTTTATTTATTTATTTATTATTTATTATTTATTTTAACTTAACTGAGAAAATATTATATTTGTTACCATGACTGTGAAATTCTGTCACCTAGCTTATTCAACACGCCTACAGAGCAGAATCAGGATCTTTCTGAGACCGAACTGATCTTTAATCTGTGTGTTTGAATAATATGTTTAGGATCTTGCAGCTTATCTAAGAGAGGAGATAGCATTGCTTGTCCTCAGTACCCTTGCTTGACCGTTGCCTGTTGTAAGTGGATGGATAAAGTGTTTACGTCATACAAACTCTGTGCTTAATGAAAACTACAAAGACCCAGATTTACTGTGTGCCTGTTTGACCAAATAACCACTTTTTAATGCATTCCTACTCTAAAAGTTCATGATGAACATTTTGGGGTCAAAAAAAAAACTCTGGGGACCATGCCCCCAGACCCCCCCAAGTACAGGCTTAACCCCCCTATCTGTGAACCTTTAGTGATGCCCCTTGTTTAAACCATATATGGCTGTTGTCAGAAGAAAACCTTGTCGTTATTCAGTTTTTGACATAATTTGAAAATGCCTGTTGTTCTTTACATTGTCTGTAAATTTCATGATGAATGGACCAAAAGAAACGGCCCAAAATGACTTGGAAAACATTCTGGTTCCATTGACTTACATTAAAAGTAAAGTAGGTTTTTTCCTTCTCCTGTAAAGTTACCGTTTTGGAGATACGAGGTTTTCTTCCAACAACAGCGATATATCCAAATGTCCTCCACAGCAAAAATATAACTGAGGAAAATGGGAGGAATGACCCCTTTTACAACTAAATTGCTCTTCAGACGGATGGAGAATGTTATATATGGTTCTATATAGAACCTTTTTATAAAAATGGTTCTATATAGCACCAAAAAGTGTTCATGATATTGTTACAATGCCAGGCTTAAAACGGTAACCCTTTTTGGTGCTACATAGAACTCAGAAATGTTCTATATAGGACCATATACAACACATTCTCCATCAGTCGGAAGAACCCTTTCACCAGAACCGTTAGAGCTAGTTCTTTGAGTGTTCACGGTTCTATAAAGAAGCCCTCATAGACTGAAAAATATACTCTTCTCTCTGACGTCCCAGACCATTCTTTAATGGTCAGGACCCCAAAAGGACCAACAGAGCAGGTATTATTTGGGTGGTTGACCACTGGGTGGTGCTGCTGTCACTCTGCTAAGTGGGCAGTGAAAAACCCTAACCATTGCGGCGTTTCCTCACCCCACCCATATTCAGACAAACCCCACCTAATTTAAAAATGTCTGTCAATCCAAAAGGAAAATAGTCTATTATAATTCCTCCATAAACAGCCTTATGGGCATTGGAAAATCGGAAAAGCTGTACCATAAACATTTCCTCGTCAGAACAGTAGATTAGACCAAAGTATGTTAATTAAAAAACAACGTTAATATCCATTTTTAGGAACACTGTTTTTTTTTCTGAAAATAAACAAAACTATCCTTATTATTGTGCAGTATGCTGCTGTGTGTACACTGTAACAGGTTAGTGTAATATTTAAGTAGGACTTATGATTGAACTGAATCTGATTTTTCTTGCTTTTCTGTTAAGCCCAGCTCAGCTGTGATGCAAAAACAGAGGCTGTCTTACAAACATGGAAAGCTTAACACTAACATCTCATTCGAAGGAGTCTAACTTAACTTAAAATGCCCGAACGCAGAGAATGTTCTTCAATTTTTATACTTGTATGCAAATTATCCCCCTAAGTTAACACTTCCTGTGCAGGTAACACACTTAAATATGGCATATTTTAGTGAGCAATTTCTGTTTATTTGCTGAGTTTATCAAATAGGAAAAATATAATACCTGAAATGGGTTACAAAATGTGCCATAACTTTTTCACAGGCCACATTATTTTTTTATTTTTCTATGTTAAATTCAGCACAGTAATAAGTAATTGTGCATTAAAATGTGCAGAAGTGTGTTCTCTGTAGAGGATGTGTTTATATGTGTATATATACTTATTTTCACTTAGAAAACAAAACATTTGAATTTGACCAGGGGCGCCAACACTTTTGCATACAGCTGTAATTTATTCGTCGTCTACACAGTAAAGGGCCACTTGTTCATCTAATGTTTACATCTGCAATAGATCCTGAGTATTTCATCCATTTCAAGCATTGTGGTCTAAGCAAACCCACCCCAACCTCCACCCTCCGAGACCCCTGGCGGTCAGAGACCCCTGGGCTCCGGCCGCGCTGGCCCGGTCAGTAATCTATCCCTCACCACTGTTTGAGGGAGGAATCTCACTCACTGTCAAATCAGGCGGGATTTGTTGAAATACAGGTGCAGCCAAAACCCCTGAGTTTGAGCTGAGTTCATCTCTTCAGTGTTTATTATATAAACACGTTCCCTAAAACAACTTGCAGTGTCGTTTTTCCCACTTGTATTCCGGAAAATCCCACCTGATTTGATAGAGGGATAGTAAAACAGCACTTCAGCTCTCTAACGGCTCCTCTCCAGCTGAGAACACGAGAAATCCTCTTTGAGAGGACTTAGCAGTCGGTGGTAAAACAAATAAGACGTTTCAGTACAGAAATGCAGAAGAGCAGCCATTCAAAATAAACTAATAGCACTTGAGTTACAGGCATGGACACAAATGAATATATTGAGGCCATGAGTTAAGTTTCTCATAACTTGTGGCCTCAGTATGTTAATTTGTAGCCTCAATGTAGTAATTGGTGGCTTCAATAAAGTAAATTGTGGCCTCAATACAGTAGTCCATGGCTCAGTATAGAACTTTGTGGCCTCTGTATGTTAATTTGTGGCCTCAATATAGTAATTTGTGGCCTCGATATAGTAAATTGTGGCCTCAATAAAGTAAATTGTGGCATCAGTACAGTAATCCATGGCTCAGTATAGTAATTTGTGGCCTCAATATATTAATTTGTGGCCTCAATATAGTAATTTGCGGCCTTAATTTGTGGCCTCGATATAGTAATCCATGGCTCAGTATAGTAATTTGTGGCCTCAATATATTAATTTGTGGCCTCAATATAGTTCTTTGTGGCCTTAATTTGTGGCCTTGATATAATAAATTGTGGCCTCAATATAGTAAATTGTGGCCTCAATACAGTAATCCATGGCTCAGTATAGTAATTTGGGGCTCAATATATTAATTTGTGGCCTCAATATAGTAATGTGTGGCCTTAATTTGTGGCCTCGATATAATAAATTGTAGGCTTCAATATAGTAAATTGTGGCCTTACAGTATTCCATGGCTTAGTATAGTAATTTGTGGCCTCAATATGTTAGTTTGTGGCCTCAAAATAGTAAATTGTGGCCTCAATATATTAATTTGTGGCCATGCTTTATTAAAAAATAATCACCATGTCACCTTCGGGGCTCCGTACAGGTGATTTTGATGGACTATTTAAGTGTCTCTGTGGCTCTTTTGTGTGGAGAAAGAAAGATGAACATAGTCTACCGTCATCCATATCCATATCCTACCATTTTGTATTTTATTTTTTCCATTTATGACATTTGTGTGGGTTTATGCACCAAAATCAGCTGAAATTGTTTTTGTTACTGTAAGACTGATATATGTAAATGAGCTCTATCTTGATTGGCTGTCCTCTATTGTGCCTCACAGCGTCCTGTGACCACTGATGAAGGACTAGAGGATGACCAACACAAACTGTGCAGCAGCAGATGAGCTATCGTCTCTGACTTTACATCTACAAGGTGGACTGACAAGGTAGGAGTGTCTAATAGAGTGGACAGTGAGTGGACACAGTGTTTAAAAACTCCAGCAGCACTGCTGTGTCTGATCCACTCAGACCAGCGCAACACACACTAACACACCACCACCACGTCAGTGACACTGCAGTGCTGAGAATGATCCACCACCCAAATAGTACCTGCTCTGTGAGGGTCCACGGGGGTCCTGACCACTGAAGAACAGGGTAAAAGGGGGCTAACAAAGTATGCAAGAGAAACAGACGGACTACAGTCTGTAACAATGAGCGCAGAGACAAGGTGCACTTAATGAAGCCGGTGTGTGTGTGTGTGGGTGTGGGTGTATGTGTGTGTGCCAGGGTGTGAGTGACGTCACGTTAATGATATAAGGCCCCCCGCGCTCTTTCACCCACTCTCTGCTCTGAGCTGATCTCTCCACGCTGCGCACGCGGATCGCTCTTTCTGACTCTCCCTTCCTCAAACTCTCCTTCTTCATCACTGGGACGGGCGCGTGGATGCGCTCGGCGGCTACGGAGGCGCGCGCGCGCGAGGCTGCGTTCCGGCGGTAAAGAGAAGAGCGCGCGCGGCTTCCATGGTGCTTGGAGACGCGAACAGGACCGCGAGCTACGGAGAGAGCGCGCGCTCGCTCATGGCGGAGGCGCGCGCGCGGGAGCCTGGCGCGGGCGCTGCGAGCGTGAGGATCTCGGAGGCGCTGCTGCTGCCTCGGCTCTTGGGGCTCGCGCACGACGGCGGCGGTGGCGGGGAGCGCGTGCCCGCCGTACACGTGCCCGCGCACCTGCCCGGTTCCGCGGCTTCGGACATGCTGGGACCCTCGGCCCTCGAGCCGAGCCTCGTGATGGCAGCGGCCAACCGCACGCGCTGCGCCGAGCACATCCTGAGCTACGGCGGCGCGGAGAAGGTGCTGATCGGCGCCGTGCTCACCGCGCTCACGCTCAGCACCATCTGCGGAAACGTGCTCGTGCTCGTCTCCGTGTGCTTCGTGAAGAAGCTACGGCAGCCCTCCAACTACCTGATCGTGTCGCTCGCGCTCGCGGACCTCTCCGTGGCGCTCGCCGTCATGCCCTTCGTCAGCATCACGGACCTGATCGGCGGCCGCTGGATCTTCGGCCAGTTCTTCTGCAACGTCTTCATCGCCATGGACGTGATGTGCTGCACGGCGTCCATCATGACGCTGTGCGTGATTAGCATCGACAGGTGAGAAACACCCTCAAAGATATTCGACAAATATGAGGTTAAGAAGTCAGTACTTTACATTTAGTTTTGACTTTCTGAAGTCTGTGGACACTTTTGGACACCAAAGTCAGTACTTTACATTTAGTTTTGACTTTCTGAAGTCTGTGGACACTTTTGGACACCAAAGTCAGTACTTTACATTTAGTTTTGACTTTCTGAAGTCTGGGACACTTTTGGACACCAAAGTCAGTACTTTACATTCAGTTTAGACTTTCTGAAGTCTGGGACACTATTGGTCACCAAAGTCAGTACTTTACATTTAGTTTAGACTTTCTGAAGTCTGTGGACACTATTAGACACAAAAGTCAGTACTTTACATTTAGTTTTGACTTTCTGAAGTGTGGGGACACTTTTGGACACCAAAGTCAGTACTTTACATTTAGTTTTGACTTTCTGAAGTCTGTGGACACTTTTGGACACCAAAGTCAGTACTTTACATTTAGTTTTGACTTTCTGAAGTCTGTGGACACCAAAGTCAGTACTTCACATTTAGTTTTGACTTTCTGAAGTCTGTGGACACTATTAGACACAAAAGTCAGTACCTTACATTTAGTTTTGACTTTCTGAAGTCTGTGGACACTATTAGACACAAAAGTCAGCACTTTAGATTTTGTTTTGACTTTCTGAAGTGTGGGCGCACCATTAGACACCAAAGTCAGTACTTTACTATGACTTTCTGAAGTACAGTGAGACACAAGTAAGTACTTTACAGTAATTTCCCTCTATTTTTTAACTTTCTACAAATGTTTAGATGCGGTTCAGTACTTTACATTCAGTTCTTTCTGACTCAAATTTGTGAACACTTCAGTACTTTATGCACAGTTTTCTTTGACAGTCAGAAGTCTGGTAACAGATTTCAGTACTTTGCATTTAGTTTTTTGACTGTCTGAAGTCTGTTAAGAGAATTTAGTACTTTACATAGTTTTCTTTGACTGACCAAAGCCTGTAAACACAATTCAGTACTTTGCATAGAATTTTCTTCTGAAATCTGTAAACAGAATCAAACAGAATCAATGTAAACAAAAACCAAATCTTTACATATAGATTTTTTGACTGTCTGAAGTTCACAAACACAATTTGATACTTTACAGAGTTTAGACAGTCAAAGAACACTGTGGGTAAACATGATTCAGGACTTTACATAGAATTTTCTTTGACTGTCTAATGCCTGTAAACACTAAAAGGCACATTTTTTGAAGTCTTTAAACACTAGATACAAGTCAATATTGTACATAGTGTGAAATTCCAGCCCTAATTCCCCTTCTCCTTTTTTTGACTCCCTTCCTTCTTTACTCCAAAACCACACAAAACTACTGTTATCATAGTCACACAGGTATTACACAGTTTACGGGCACAATCAGTAAATTAAAAGTTACTAGAATGATTTATTAATGTTGCCTCATAATCCTTAGTGATCCTTAGAAAGATCTCAAAACTCCTCTAATAAAAAGCTGGAAGCAACACCTTCTCATTATCTTTTATTTCAGGTATCTGGGCATCACCAGACCCTTGACGTACCCGGTGCGACAGAATGGCTGGTGCATGGCCAAAATGGTTCTCTCTGTGTGGCTTCTCTCCGCGTCCATCACCCTGCCCCCACTCTTCGGGTGGGCGCAGAATGTGAATGATGACAAGGTGTGCCTGATCAGCCAGGACTTTGGCTACACCATCTACTCCACTGCTGTGGCATTCTACATACCTATGACTGTCATGCTGATCATGTACTACCGCATTTACCGGGCGGCCAAGCTGAGTGCGGCAAAACATACCATCACAGGTTTCCCGCGGCCGGGCGACAGTCGGCGAGATGAGGACAAAGAGGACGAGGAGGACCCTGGGGATGGTGCCGAAGAGACGACAGGCGTGGATTGTGTTACGGTGGCGATGAAGCTGCACAGAGAGGTGGAGGAGTGCACCCGGTTGCCCCGACTCTTGCGGGGAATGGCCGGTGGTGCCTCTGACCGCAAGAGCATCTCCATCTTCAAGCGGGAACAGAAGGCAGCAGCCACTCTGGGGGTCGTAGTGGGGGCCTTCAGCTTCTGCTGGCTGCCCTTCTTCCTGCTGTCCACAGCCCGACCTTTTGTGTGCGGGACAGAGTGCAGCTGTGTGCCACTGTGGGTGGAGAGGACGCTACTATGGTTGGGCTATGCCAACTCGCTCATCAATCCTTTCATCTACGCCTTCTTCAACCGAGACTTGCGCACCACCTACCGCAGCCTTCTCAGCTGCCGTTACCGCAACATCAACCGCAGGCTGTCGGCGGCTGGCATGCACGAGGCACTCCGGCTGGTGGAGAGGCCCGAGACCACAGTGTCGGGATGACCCTGGCATCCAAAAATACATGTGTGAAGCTGTAAACCTCAAGCAGGATAATCCCTGAGTGACCTTGGGAACCCTAATATACACAGGGCCCTTGGAAGGTGTGCCAGGGATTGTAGATGCCGTTTTGAAATGTCCCTTTTGTTAACCTTTATCGTGGGGCCAAGGCTTTGTAGTCACCTGTGAGCTCAAACGTTTAAGATTTAATTCAGTCCAATTAAAGATGTTCAGAAAACAGCTTTCCAGAGACCCTCATTGAGCAATTCCAAGGTGACAGTGGCACTGAACTACTACAACTAAGACTCAAAACAGGAACCCGTCCTTCTCTGTCGACACCGGATAGTAGAATATGATAAGAGATATACCACGGAACTAATAGTCTCTGAGCACTTAGGATTTCTGGGTTGTCTTTCGAAACAGGGTCACCTAACAAGGATGCAAATGCTGAGTGTTGTCATGAATCAAAACAGTGCCATGAATAATCATGAAAAGACTTGATTCTCCGGTCATATAGATGGTAGATGTGCAAGCCAATGGACCTGATTACCCAGATTTAAAATGTTTTTCTGTGAGGAACATCCACAGCTCCTACAGACCTGGCCTCGTACAGTGTAAAAGCAGCTCCAAGGATATTCACGTCAGTTACCCGGCCAGGTATTGACACAATATTCTCGTAAAAGGTGTTTAAAAGATGTTAAAAGGGCACTCTGGCCACTTGTTTCCTACAGTAGTGCCCCAGTAGTCCCAAGAGTGAGATTCTGATGATGTATCTTGAAGGTGGAAGGAGTTCTTGAAAAACTACAAGTGTGAGGAGGGTTGTTTGAAGCTAGGAAGCCAGATAACTTTACACATAAAACATCATGTTTATTTATTAACCTCTACATCAGTGGATTTCTCGATCACAGTGGTGGGGTTCCCAGTGGCCATATAGACGTATTTTGTGCAATGTGTACTGGGTATTGTAGCGGGAGAACACACAAAACGAATCCTGTCAACCAATGAGGCGGGAGGGTGCAGTGCACTTCAGAATCTTACATAACTCGACAAATATTATATGAAATGCTAAGTTTAGGCCTGAATGTCCATTTGATAGTTGCTGGAACTAATTATTCTTGGACAAACAGGCAGTTTGTACCGTCTTCTCTGGCTTCAGATCAAAAGACTCACTATTCAGAGAGCCACACTCATGAAAAGATCGGATCATATATGGACCATTGATGTGCTGTTCGATTCTCCTGGTGGGAGGGACCTCTTGTACACGTTTTAAAGGCAGGACGTTGTGACTTTTCTTCTTAAAAATAGAAAATCGTTGCGCGCAGGACTGTTTCTCCCCTGTGAAGCGTTTATTGAACCATGAACGGCTCGTTTGTCAACTGCCGCCATCGGTTAGTTCAATGAGAGCGATTTATCAGCGTCCATCTCCAAAAGACGTTTTGCAAGGACTTCAAAACTCTTTCTCCTAAAGACAAAACAGGCCTGCAGCACTTTCTATAATCCCCACCTTCCGCATCAGCTAAAAGGCTTCTGCGACAACTGGCTCGTTTCTTTTTCTTTTTTTTTTTGCTTCGGGGGGAAAAACACATCAGAGTGTAGAGCTGATATTGGTGAAAGCTGCTGTGGTTAGAGTTAAAGGAGGAATAAAAGGAATTTGATACAAGCTCTGCAATCATAAATCCCTGATGGTAAAAATAACTCACCTCCTCGCTGGATCAGCTGTATTCGGTCTGCCTTTGGACGGACTGCATTAACCTTTATTAAAGGGTAATTCAACTGATTTTTCATGAGTTCTGTATAATTCAGTGGTTGAGATGTAAAGTCATGCAGAGCGGTTCGATGTGAAAAGGTGCATCGTAGAGAAATGTGCCCACCATGGTTTCTTTACAGTGGTGGTGATGGGAACCAGGGGCCGTATTACAGAAAATTCTTAAGTCTGAGATCTGCTTTGTTGTCATGGCAACTTCAGTTAAGACTGAATTTAGGACAGAAGCTATTACAGTTCTTAAGTCTATAATCGTATCTTATTTCCAGAAAAGAAAACAATATTACAGAAACATCCTAAGTTGCCAAAATATCCTAAATATTGAATTTAACTTTAAGATAAACCCCAGAGGGTCTTAACTTCTGTTTAACCGTCTGTTTCTGTTGTTTTATGCAGTGACAGGCAGCACAGTTCACTATAGCCAGCATAATGACGCCACATTTATCTGCACTGAAAACTGTGCTTTGACTTGATTTGATGCTGCAGACATGATTTCCACCATCTCCTCTTATTTCCTTCGTGTGTTAATGTTGATGATGAAATATTACAGTGATGGTGGTGAATAATGAGGGGACAGAGCTGAACGTGTGTCTGTTTATTAGGAGGAATAACGTTAGCGTGCTCAGCTAAAGCGTTTAGGAAATGGAGACTGAAACTGAAAACGGTGACGCTCTAAAAAACAGCAGGGGGTACTGACACAATATTCTTAACTCTCAGTTTATCACGCTTTAGTTTTATTTGACTTTCTTTACCTCAGTAACGGTAGCTAACGTTAGCTGTCTGGCAAACTAACTTGATTACATGTTTACGTTTCAGCTGTGTGTGTATGGTCGGTTTCTAGGTAACAGACACGACAGTTGATTGTCGACTTCAATCGAGTAAGTTAAGATTTGAGATAAGAAAAGATGCTGTAAGATAAGATGCTTAAATTAAGATCAGATTTGCTTCTGTAATACGAATTTGTGAAAAATCTTATCTTGACCTGTCAGATCTTCAGTTAAGAGAAGAAGATAAGAATTGTCTGTAATACAGCCCCAGGGGTCTCGATGTCTACAATAGAAATATAGCCATTTTATTACTATCCAACGGCCACTGAACCCACATGTGTTTCTTAGATTTTATATGCAGTGTTGATAACGATAGTAGTAAAATAGCACCCTGCATGTATCTTTCTGGCAGGAATGTATTCAAATAAGTACATTTTAGACGAGAATCTTACCTCAAAACTATTGTAAAACAATGTCTCAGGCATCATGCAGTGTATTTGTTACCATTCCTTGTAGTAATGTTCTGTGAGCTTTTAGCGCCATTAAACTCTCCAGACGTCTGGTTCCATTCTAAATGACTTTGTTTACGTCTTAACAACGCACTCTTAAAACTGGTGGTTCTTTAAGGGTTCTTTAGTAAATAGAATGGTTCCATTTAGAAGCATTAGTTCTACATTAACCCATTTCATGCAAATGGTTCTTTGCATGGTGAAATGGTTCTTCAGGTTGATGGACAATGTGCTGTATATGGTTCTGTTATGTTCTACACCGATCAGGCATAACATTCTGACCACCTCCTTGTTTCTATGCTCATTGTCCATTTTATCAGCTCCACTTACTATATAGGTGCACTTTGTAGTTCTACAGTTACAGACTGTAGTCCATCTGTTTCTCTGATACTTTGTTAGCCCCCTTTTACCCTGTTCTTCAGTGGTCAGGACCCCCATGGACCCTCACAGAGCAGGTACTATTCGGGTGGTGGATCATTCTCAGCACTGCAGTAACACTGACGTGGTGGTGGTGTGTTAGTGTGTGTTGTGCTGGTCTGAGTGGATCAGACACAGCAGTGCTGCTGGAGTTTTTAAACACCTCAGTGTCACTGCTGGACTGAGAATAGTCCACCAACCAAAAACATCCAGCCGACAGCGTCCTGTGGGTAGCGTCCTGTGACGACTGATGAAGGACTAGAGGATGACCAACACAAACTGTGCAGCAGCAGATGAGCTATCATCTCTGACTTTACATCTACAAGGTGGACTGACAAGATAGGAGTGTCTAATAGAGTGGACAGTGAGTGGACACAGTGTTTAAAAACTCCTGCTCTGTGAGGGTCCATGGGGGGTCCTGACCACTGAAGAACAGGGTAAAAGGGGGCTAACAAAGTATCAGAGAAACAGATGGACTACAGTCTGTAACTGTAGAACTACAAAGTGCACCTATATAGTAAGTGGAGCTGATAAAATGGACAATGAGCGTAGAAACAAGGAGGTGGTCATAATGTTATGGCTGATTGTTGTATATATGTTTATAATTATGCAGAAATTTTGAAAAATCAGTAAATTCCCCTTTAAATCTATCTAAGCCCAGAGCATTTCACTCTGACACTAGCTAATGTGTTTGATTACTTATTTATTTTGTACATAAATGTATTTATACTGTAAAATATACCATGCATGACTTGAATATATGAAATATCATTGCTTTCTGTTTGTCAGTAACAGCCTTTTGATCTTTGCTGCATCTCACCATTGTCTGAATTATGTAAAATATACTGAAATGACCAACAAAAAATTTGTACTTTTATTTACATACATGTAAACAGAATTTTGTAAAAAAAAACAACAAACAAAACGAAAGCACCAGTATGCACAGTGCCATAGTGTTGTATTGCATTCCTTTCCATCATAAAAAAGCATCTGTGTACACAAGTTTTCGCTGTTCGTTTTCCTCAGGCCAGCTTTTTGAATAAATACATGTTGATGAATGCTGTGTTTTTGCATATCTGACAGATGCATATTTGGAGCAGCACCTTACAGGGCAAATCACCATACTGGAGCCCTGAGAGGGGCTCTAGCTTTTGTTGGCAACTTGTAAACTAGGGCTTCAGCCAATTAGCAACCACTCGCATGTTGGTGACTTTATGAAACTCAATTTTCAGCACTGATTCTGCTCATCAGTGTTGCTTCTGCAAAGAACAACAAAGAATATCTACAATATAGTTCAATATAGAGGTGATTTTTAACCCACAGTGAACTCAGTCAGTATCCTTAATTAGGATGCACTTAGCGGCCACTTTATTAGAAACCCCTACCTTGTGGTCCATCAGCTGATGCACAATTTGTGTTTCTCACTACAAGAGCTGCTCTTGGCTGGACGTTTTTGGCCGCTGGACGACTCTCAGCCTAGCAGCGGCAGTGATAAATGATAATATCGGACAATATGCAGTACTTAGCAAAGGACACCCATCAGTTATTTGATTTGCAGTCAAAGAAAGCAGTTCAGTTTATTCATTTTCCACCATCAGATAAAAAGCAGAAAACATTTAACATAAAATTACCCACAAGACTTTTTTTTGTATTTAGTGTTTCCTCTCTTTACGTTTTTTTTTACAGCTTTTACAGATTCTTTTTAGGAGATTTGCTCTCAGTTCTTCAAAGAAACCTGCAGGGATATTTTCCCATGCCTCCAAAGTTCAGTCTCAGAAGTTGCTTGCATTTTCACGATCCTAATAATCCCAAAAACATTCAGTGGTGTTGAGGTCTGGACTCTGGGGTGGTCAGTCCATCGTTCAGCTTCTTTGTTTGATGTGTCCGTCTCCTTTTCTCAGTGAGGTTCTTCTTGATCAGCTACACATCCTTTCAGACCCACAGCGCTGAGTCGTCTTCTCACAGTGGAAGGATGGACAGAAACACCTGTGGATGTTTACAGATCTGAAGCAGCTTGATTTTCTCCTCTCTCTCAAAGATGAAAGCTTTAAGTGCTGTTTATCTGATGGGGGCAGTTTTCTTGTCTACCAGGTCTTCCAGGTGGTTGTTAGGCGCCTCATTTTCTCTATAGCTTTTAGTCATTTTTGTGAACTCCAGTTTTTCATTTATTTTTCTTTGACTTTCTCCTTCTTTAAACAAGTGGA